CCCCTATTTTGACCTGTACTGGTTTAACTCTAGGAGGCGGTAATCCAGGACCACTTCACAAGAGCTAAGTGCAAAATTATTACAGAAATGAGTGAAGCTAACAGTGGCAGAGATTATTTAAAGCCCTCTGTGTATGATGCAGTGTACTTGCAGTGAAATTGTTCTTTTTGTTGTTGTCCATAATATAATCTTTCATGCTTAATCAGTATTCTGATTAAGTACTAGGAAAACGCATTAATTTAATTTTCTTCTCTTGGTGGTGTTACGAATTTAAATAATTTGGACAGATAAGGGGACATATGCACTTTATCCCTAATAATATGCTGCAATTACAGATGGCTTGTAAAGCGAATCTTTAACACTCTTGCAAACAAAATAGAGGTAATCGTTATACGAACAACTTCAGTTTTACATTTTGGCCTAAGTACTGTTCGTCGAGTGACATTTAGAATTTTGGTTTGCCAGGAAGATACGCATATGTAGCATTTCATATGCCAAATTAAATGCTAGTATAATTTAGATGATTGCAGATTATTGGGAAGCTTTTCTGTGTAAGAATATAGATGAGAACATTCAAATAAATTTGTCATGGACATACTGTTAAATTGTAGTTTTCTGCCTTTTAGTTTTGCGGAGGCGTGAAATATATTTATGTTTGTCTTAAACAAAACTACCTCTGTAGCTGGAGAGCTTGCTGATGCTAAAACTGCCAGCGTCTCATGTCAGCAGCTTTCTCTTTTTCTGACAGCAGATTTCCATCTGTAAACTTCTTATTCAGAAGCAACAAGAAAACAATCTTGCTGTGATTCTATCCCCTATTTAAACAGTATATAATATTATCATCAACATAAACATCAATTCCATATGTATATTATGATTCCCAGAAAAATAACTGCTTAAGTAGGTGGACCATAACACCTCATTAGTGAGAGGTTTGATTTTTTGTTGTTGTTGTTTTCTAGATGAATTTACTAAATAGTCATCTGTTTTCTGCTGTTGGATTTCTGTTCTGCCTTCCATACAGGTTTCATGTTTATCTCTCTGTTCTGTAGGCTGAAGCTCGCCTTCTTGAGGAACAGCGTAGAGTTCAGGTATATCTCCATGAGAGCACACAAGATGAGTTAGCACGAAAATGTGAGCAAGTACTTATTGAAAAACACCTGGAGATATTTCATACAGAGTTTCAGAATTTGTTGGATGCTGACAAAAATGAAGGTAAGGAGATTCAAACATTGGTTTAGGCTTAGAGCTCCTCCCTGATGATTTATGAATAACATTAAATTCTGGTGATAGTGAAATGTGATTTGTTCAGGAATTAGATTAAAAGAGAAGATAGACACTAAACTGATTGACAAGCAGCTTTTGATTAAATTGGGATGGCTGAGGATATTGCCTCAAGAAGCCTATTCCAATCCCAAACATTAAGGCAAAACAGCACTAATTTTGATTTCTCTTCACATGGCTGGAAGAGCTTCAAGAGCACTTGAGCCATCTTTCCAGCAGGAGCTGAAGCTTGCATGAGAGACATGCGAGGCAAAAAACAGACCAGTAGTCTTACCAGCTGTTTCAGTTTAATCCATGGATCTTTCTGAGTCAGCAGTGAGAATTTTAAAATCCAAGTGGTCTAGAAGTATGTATAGGAAATGTTAAAAGAGGAATAGAAGTAAATGAGGAGCTTCTAACGTATAGTATAGAAAATATATAAAACTGCATATAGATCACAAGGAAAGGTTGGACATTATTAATTGATGAGACAATTTTAGCTACAGCTAAATTTGTAGACTTAAGTCTACAAATTTAGACTTACAAATTTGTAGACTTACTTAGTCTTAAGTACCACTAATGGATCAAGTTTATACCTTCACAGAGAACACATAGAATAAAGACTTCTTCAGCGGTTCCTCTAAAGTAAAGGTTATCAAAGAGTTTAGGTATCTTTAAGGAACTGTCAATTGTACTGTTTTTTATGAGTTTCTTCAGGTGTTAATGCTTTGCACAAAATAAGAGTCAAAACTAGGGCCAAATAATTCCTGTGCACTGTGCAGATGATAAGGATGAATGGTGTTTCTGATTTTTCCAGTTGGGGAATTAATTAAATCTATATAGGAAGGCAAGGTAAGGCTCTATAGCTGAAATACTGCTTTTAAGAAAGTGACAGAATTTAAGAGATACTATGATTAAGTTACTACTGATGATACTGTTCATTTGAGAGTTGTGAATTGCAACTATGACTCTGTCTCTTTATATATCAACCTTAGAAGAGCAACTATGAATAATTACTGTAATCATCATGTTGATAACTAAGAGATGCTTCAAAATAGAAAAGGGCAATTCAGCATGATTAATAGGTCAGAAGTTACCTGTTTCACATGTAAATAGAAGATTTCTATCCTGTACTAGTGTTTGAGTCAGATGTTGTTTGTGTTTGCAAATAAATGTATTTACTCTGTAATTGGAAGAGATTTTGATACAGATGGGTGTTGACTAGTAAAATGACTTTATAAATGTCTTCAGACAATAGAAATAGTAATAGCACAAACAAGAAAATTTTTCTGGACTCAGGAGGCCTTCCCAGCCTTTTTTTTTTTCCCCTTACTTTATGAAGCTCATGAGTTATGTGAGCTTTTAATATAGTCACTTACCGTAGTGATGCAATTCCGTAAGTTTGTTGGGGTTAAAAAAGAAAATAAGTACCTTGTGTCTTGAGCACTGTCTTGTTATATGTCTTTGGTTTTACTTTCATTTGGGTTATTTCTAAGATTAATTAGGCATTTTAAAATGACTGATTTTTTTTTTTTTTTCTTTTTCAAAATATTTTCTTTTATCGGGCTTCACTTGAGCACATTACAGTAGTTCCCTGGCCCTTTTTAAATTTCATGAAGTCTCAAGATTAGAAACATTTATTTTGAAAGATTCTTTGAGAATTCATTCTGTAATCACTATAATCAGTTCATTCTCAAATTTGTAATATACTAAAATAGCCTATTGTAGACTATCCTAACCTTATAATAAAATCTTGCTCTCGATTAAAATCTTTATTGCTTTGCTCTTGAAAGTGCACTGGTTTTGAGGTCCTCCCATGTGAAGTATGTTAAGCATATCATATTACAGGCAACTCCTGATGGTGTTCTGTAAATTTTTAATCACATTGTGCATCTAGTTATAAAGGTTGTGGGGCACATTTGTCATGTGTTACCTATTCACATCAGTATGATACCTATAGGAAATAATTATGTTTACTGAGAGCAGGCTGTAATGATTTAGGTGGAGTTACCGTGTAAATCTTCCTTGAGGCTTTGTAGCATCTCTTCCATATTTCACCAAATACAGACATCCTGATAGACCAACCTGTGAACCCTTATTTGTGGGTAGGTCTAGCAGCAGCTTATTATATCTATGCATGGCATTATTTTCCGACCTTTTTTCAAAAATTCTCTTTGTCTTTCTAAAATTCTGTAGCTGAAACAACTTACGTTGTTGTAAAAGTTTAACATCAGGTTGCAAATGTGGTTTTCAGAGAGAAAAAATGTTTGCTTTTCAAATCCAAATGAAGCTTGCCGAAGTTCTAAGGAATGGAAACTACTATATGGAAACGGGTCTGAATAGAGGTGTCATTGCTTCAGTATTAAAGGCGTCAAGTTCTGTGTGTTGTATTTCAGAGTTAGGTAGTGATACAGCTGCTTGATTGCTCTGTTTTATTTAATCTGATAATCCTCAGGTGATAATAAATTGCTCATAAGCCCTTCAGAGAAGTCCTTACACTTTAGAAGTGCTAGATGCAGCTGACAACCTTAAGATGGATTCAACAAGGTGAAATATCCTCATTAGTTTACAGTAACTAATTTGGTTGTTTACTGTTTCACTTGAGTGCCTGTTCAGTGAGGGCAAGATTATAAGAGGTAACTAGTGGGTTTGCGTACCTGGTTTATGGCCATATTAAAGTTTGTTTTGGTTTGGGTTTTTTGCTTGTTTTTTAAAAAGTGTTCTGCACTCAGAAAGTACAAAGCATCTGCCCTGTTGAAAATGAATAATAAAACAAAACCCTCTTTGATATTAGACTTTCCAAAATTACTAATTGATTTTGGAAAGTCTTGGCTGAAAACAGGTGAGATTTTAACATATGTGAAATGACATCCAGTGTATTTTTACCTTTGGTAGTTTTGTTCCGTGGTAATGTTTTTCAGAACCTTTTCTTTCCTTGAGATACAACTGCTTCTACTGATAATCATTTACTTAAAAGTTTAAGAGATGAGAGGTGGCTTTATTGACAGTGCTTTATTGGAGGAAATTTGGTTTATAATGTTTCAGTTTATCTGCTAAGGTCATAGCAATACATAGTATTTGCCTTAAATTTCCAACCATTACCACTGATGGTAGAAGTGTTAATATACAAAAGGCTACAGGTGGTGTTAGATCTCTGAGAACTGTCCTGTTCAGAATAAGATTTAAAGGACAGTGGTCAGCTGGAGTATGTTGTACTTTTAGCACAGCCAGCAGTAACACTAATGACAGTCCTAATTCATGGTAACACTTCAAAATTTCATCTAAATAAGAGGGTTTTAACTCCATTTTTAAATCCTTGCACCTCTTTAAATTTATGAAAACTAGAAATCGGAAGTAAATCTATTTCTGTAAGTCAGTTTTTTTCTGCTTGAGATTTACATAGCATTGTGAAGGTAAAACAGATCTTAATATTTAACAGGTTGGTCTCTCTTTAACTAGTCTTAGCTTTCCAGGTTAGTGCAAAGATTTGCTATACTGTATAATTTTTTGCTGTAGTTTTTTCTGGGTTTTACAGGAGCAATTGCACATATATTTTTGATGATGCATGTTTAACTCCTCTTGGTAACTTGTAAATGAGAAATTGGAGTCATAGCTAGTACAAATGGGAGATGTTGGCTTTCCTTTTTTTTTTTTCAGACTTGGGACGTATGTATAACCTTGTATCTCGAATCCAGGATGGCCTTGGAGAGCTGAAAAAACTTTTGGAAACCCACATTCATAATCAGGGTCTAGCTGCAATTGAGAAATGTGGAGAAGCTGCTCTAAATGCAAGTATCCTATCAAAATAAGTCTGTGTGTGGTTGCTGCCAGTTTTATATTAGAAGAGGGTGAATGCTTCCTGATATAATTTCCAGTTTGCCCTCTCACTGGTTTAATTTGTGAGGACTAGGCAATTCTCAAACGTTGATAGTAGGCCTAAAACTACAGTCACATCACTGTGTTACTACTCTTTGAGCGGGGGGGTGTTTATTTTAGGGGGGGTTTCCTTCTGAGTTTTTGCTCTCTGTCAGGATGTCATGCTGCTTGGAAAGCTGGCTGTGCAAATACAACATCCTACACTTACAAATACACCTGAAAGTCCACTGTTTCAAGAAGCATTATCTCCAGTGGGCTGTACTTTATTTCATCATATTATAGACTTCTGACTTGGATGGGACTATGTGGAGAAAGCTGCTGTTGTTTTTTGTTTTTTGGTGAATGGCTTTATTCTATTTGGAAAAGTATGAGAAATACAAGAGGAAGAGGTAACTGAAATGGTGGGAGAGGTGACAATATAAGGAGCAGGTCAGGTCTTCTGCGACACTCTGGTTGTTTAGCTGTGTAATTGGCTTTCTTGATTTTTATCCCATAATTGTCATTTCAGACTTAATTTTGTATTGATTAGGGTTGAATCTCGGCAACATGCAGTTGTTTAAACTCTTTGCTAACCTTTTTTTCTATAGACAATATGACATTTTCTAGCAAAAAAAAAAAGAATGAAACGTACAAAGCAAAATTAGGATAGAATATAGAGTCTGGTAAATATTTAAAATGGGGTTTAACTTTGATTTTTTTACAGAGTTCATTTTAACCTGTTATTGGCCTCAGATATTCTTGAAATAGCTTCATACTAGTAATCATTAAAGCAGTAATCTGTAATAACTGCATGGAGAACACTAAAAACTTTAGTTTTTAGCACAGATTAAAATGCTTTACACATGTGCAGTGTCTGTTGTTCACTTTGATAGTTTTAAGTGTGTAGCTTTTTAGCAGTGTTGATCTCTTATGACTCATGAAGTTCAGGAATCTTCAGCTTCATTTGTAGATGCCACCTCAAATTTTGAAATCAGATGTACTCCATGGTTGACACATCCCTCTAGTGGTCATCACTCTTGAGTTTCTTTGTACGTAGGCCTTGAAGAATTTCCCAGAAAAATGAAAGCTTTTTCTGCAGGAATTAGTTCATCTTTGAGAGAGGGTGTCGTGGTTTAACCCAGCAGGCAGCTAAACACCACACAGCCGCTCGCTCACTCCCCTCTGCCCCCCTGCCCGAGTGGGATGGGAGAGAGAATCGGAAAAAAAGGTAAAACTCGTGGGTTGAGATAGACAATTTAATAGGACAGAAAAGGAAGGGAAAATAATAATAATGATAAAAGAATATACAAAGCAAGTGACGCACAATGCAATTGCTCACCACCTGCTGACCGATGCCCAGACAGTTTCCGAGCAGCGGCCGTAACCCCTGGCCAACTCCCCCCAGTTGTTGGTTTGCTTTTTTTTTTTCAGCATGATGTCATATATGGTATGGAATATCCCTTTGGCCAGCTTGGGTCAGCTGTCCTGGCTGTGCCCCCTCTCAGCTTCTTGTGCACCTCCAGCCTCTTCACTGGCAGGGCAGTAGGAGAAGCTGAGAAGTCCTTGACTTAGTGTAAGCACTGCTCAGCAACAACTAAAACATCAGTGTGTTATCAAGATTATTCTCATCCGAAATCCAAAACACAGCACTGTACCAGCTACTAGGAAGAAAATTAACTCTATCCCAGCTGAAACCAGGACAGAGGGGAAGCCTGTGATTTGTATGTATTAGTTCTTTTGACTCCAACCATTTACAAAACTCTTCCTGATCACGACACTTTTTCTTGTTTCTTCATCTTTCTTTTTTACCACGTTTGTTCTTCATTTTCATAACAGTATCTCTGGCTGTCTCCCTTGGGAATCAGCTTGCCTCTTCTTCCAATACCCTTCACACCACTGTATTGCTATTCATTATTGCCTTGTTAGTCCTCTATCACACTTAGGTAGGATTGATTCTGCTTAACTTCATTTATCTGTACTGTGTCTAAACAGATAATCAGCTGAGCAAATGCTTCTCTGTTTCTCTGTAGTCATTGGAGAGAAACAGTCATACCAGCTTGACTCATCTGACTTTAGATTTTTACTGCAGAATGAGTTGTGCTGTAGACTCCATTAACTAACTATATTAACGAGACTGCTCTTCAGTCAGAAGATTACTGCTTTTTGTGCCTTTGGTTATTTTTTTTGGAGTCCTTGTAATCAGTAGATGCCTTTCTGAATGTCCTTCAAGTCCACTTGAGTTTCTTGTCTAGGAGGTTCTCAGTAATCTCAGTTCTTTATCTCAAGCACGGCATTAGATTGGTGATCTACTAGTTTATGTCTGTCTTCAGTGGCAACAGGAAATGTTTTTCAGGATCCTGATGCAACCCTGCCCATCTTTTGCCATTTGCTTAGACATCTGGGTGTCTAAGCATCCAGAACTCTTACAATATGAATGTTACAGGAGTACCTCCATGCCCAGTCCTCTTAGTTTTTATTTATGGACCTGTTGTCCGTGAGTTTGTCTAATCCGTTCTTGAACCTGCTGATATTAACCTGCTTCCAACAACCTCCTGTGGCAGCAAGGTCCAGAAGTCCACTACCTTATATGTAAAGATGTTCTTTATCTGTCTTAAACTTGTTTCCTATCGCTTTCATCAAGTGCCCTGTAGTTATAAAAGGTGGCTTCTAGTGATTGTTCGTCTCTTCAGTCATTCTCCTGATTTTGTAAACCTTGGTCATATGCCCTTTCAAACTTCTGATCTCCAAATTGAAGACTTCTAGGTTTTTTGGTCTGTTGTATAGTAGCTGCCCTGTCTGCCTGGTGTTTTAGTTGCCCTTCACTGTTCCTACTCTGATTCTACTCCATCTTTATTGAGATGCAGAGATCAGTAATTGCGCATAAAATTCAGTCTGTGAGTGCCATAAACTTGATGTTTATTGGCATTTAGCTGCCACTGGGTGTTGAGCGGATAATTTTTACGAACTGTCAACAATGACTGAGGTTTCTGTACTAAGTTGTATCTATTGGGGATACACCTGTTACGTTCTTACTACAGAGATTTATTTTGAGGGTTTCTTCTATAGCAACTGCCATTTTATGATTGTCCAGCTCTCAGATCTGATTTGAATTAAGCTTATGTCTCTGAAAATGTCCTTCTTGGAAATGTTTGCAATGGTTGAGTAAGTGGTTTTGTCGTCTTTTGTATGATATAATGTAGTACACTCTGCACTCTGATTGCTGTAAATGAAAGCTTGTGCTAATGTAAGTCAGTCCTGGACATAGGACCTAAACGAGTCTGGATATTATTTTACCTTTAAAATATTTCTAATACTTTGTAGACTTTCCCCATAAAAATTTGCTTAGGCCAGTGAGTAGCTCCATTTTGAAGGAAGTAGAAAGCAGAAAGTCAATGGGTTGCAAAAAACAATCTCTCTTTATTGCAGGATCCAAAAATGTATGTACAGACAGTGTTGGATGTCCATAAGAAATACAATGCTTTAGTCATGTCTGCATTCAACAATGACGCTGGCTTTGTGGCTGCACTAGACAAAGTAAGTATATGTAGTGGCATACAGTGAACGTTTGTGGTTTTTTTTTTTTTTCTATTCAGTGTTTTGTCTCCCAAAATTTCACTGTCTTTTGTGATTTATAGGCTTGTGGTCGATTTATAAATAATAATGCAGTGACAAAAATGGCTCAATCATCCAGTAAATCACCAGAGCTACTGGCACGATACTGTGACTCTTTACTAAAGAAAAGGTACGTCTTCAAAGACAAATTATTATTTCAGGTTGGCTTTTGTTTTAAATGGTTTTAGCATATGAAGTTCTATATTACGTCTTCAGAAACAGAACTTAACATTTCAAGAAAAATTAATTATACCAAATTCTGAGTACAAAAAATTTCAGTAGGACCATTCCTAAAGCTTATATGGAGTTTACTTTTCTTTTTTAAAGAAGAGGGGGGAAATAATAAAAAAAACTGAGACCTTTCTTTCCTTATAGGAAACTAAGTTCTAATTTTTTTTTTTAATAAAACAGAAGGGGTCCCCCCCCCCCCCCCCCCCCCCCATTTGAGTTGTGTTATGTTGTAAAGAAGAGACACACATTCCCTTTTTCCATTAAAACTCTTGCTTTCCTCCTGTTGTTTTCTCTGTATCCTCTTCTATCTGGGCAGAAATTGAGGAGGACAAAAACAGCTTTCTAACATCTCATGCTTCATAATTTAATTAAGGTATTTGGCTTCAAATGATTCAGCAGCTCATACATTGAGTTCGTATCAGTTCAGTTCATACTGGATTGGTGTCAGTTTTGTCACTGGCAACTTTTCTAGCTGTTTTGCGGGAGGAAAAAACCTGCCACCAAACAACCCAAAACCAGAAGAACTTGCTCGCTTTTCCCTTCCTCATACCCTCTTCCCTTCAGCAAAGGATTTATTTTCCCCTTTATAAATACTAGCTTTCTACAGGGTAGATCTGGGGTATGCCTGATGGACAAGCGTGATATGGAGGAAAACAATGTGGTGCCACCTGAGTTCTCACCCAGTCAAGAACCCATCTCTCTGAGCTGTTTTTCTTAGATAGCTGTACTATCTAAGATAAGAAATGAAGATAGCATTTAGCAGCAGAAAAAAGGCCGGAAGAGAGAGATCCATGTTTAAGCTCATAAATCCTGAGAAGTATCAGGCTATCAGGAAGTCCCAAGTAATTCATGGTCCAGGACTTCAACCTATTGTTTAAAAATCACGTACTTCAGAATTGCTTACATGTGGAGTAGGGAAGAGAAGCGTTCATTTCACTACACTGTTTCCTCTCTAAAGAGTCTTTGATCCCAGAACTACTCAATCTGTGTTCCTTTATTTATGAAATTTCCATATACATCCACATGTTGTTTTAATTCTGCAGTTTTGGGACTCATTAAAAATGCACTTCTTTAATTGCAGCTCAAAGAATCCAGAAGAAGCAGAATTGGAAGATACACTCAATCAAGTGGTAAGATATCTATAAATACAGTTCTCTTCTGTGTAAGCTTTGACAAGTTAGTAATATTTGATTGTCACACAAGTCAGATGAGAGAAAACCTTTTATTTTGTATGTTTGATTTCATTACTTAATATTTCAGCTTTTCAGTAATAATCTTCATCTCTGTGTGGCTTGTTGGTTGTATTTTTTAAAAAAAAAAAAACAACCTTTACAGCGATTTAAAGTGGCTGAATGGAATTTATGCTTTTACTTCATTTTTGTATACACATATTTCTACAATATATTTTTGTATAATTACATATACGCACTACATATTTATTCATGTATAAGGCTGTACATGTGGAATGTACAGTTAATGTGTGTAAAATAGTATGCACATTTAAAACAAACAAACACCACCACTCCCTCCTTCTCCCGCCCGGAAAACAAAACAAACCAAAAACCCTGCCCTTAAAAAATTTAAGTGCAGATGAAGTAGCTACTGCTACAGCTTTTTCAAGACAAATGCTTAAATATTTTTTTTCTTACAAATTATCTTGACTTTTCCAGATGGTCGTCTTCAAGTACATTGAGGATAAAGATGTGTTTCAAAAATTCTATGCTAAAATGCTGGCAAAAAGGCTTGTACATCAGAACAGTGCTAGTGATGATGCTGAGGCAAGCATGATTTCTAAACTAAAAGTGAGTATTCCACGACTGTCTCATGATCTACCGTATTGCAGGTCTTCAGGCTGCCTTGGAAAGCACTGATGTATGTCCTTTCATTTCATTATTTTATGTACAATAGAAAAATACACTACCTGGGTCTTTTTCCTTTTCTTTTTTTTTTTTTTTTTCCCCTTTTTTACTTCCTGGGAGCTTGTGGTGCATGTCTGTCCAATGGAGTTAAGCTTAACTATTCTTATCCAAATGAATGACATGCATATAATTATCCAAGGGAATGGCTGCTGAAAAGTTGCTTAATTTCATTAACGCTTGTTCATTCAGGGTCAAGCAAAATATGTTCTAACACTCTTTTAGTAGTCTGTTTCATTGTGTGTTTTGCTTCATTTTTAAACAAAATTTTCTTCAGTTTTTGATGACAGTTAAAGAGCATGTCTAGTTGGGATCAGTACTTTGAGTAAGGGAAATACTGAACTTTATACATCTTTTAAGAAAATAGGCTCCGATACTTTGTTCTTCTCATTCTCCAATGTCCAAAATGTGTCTTGCTGACGTTATCTGTGCTTTTAAAATACAGCAAGCTTGTGGTTTTGAGTATACCTCCAAGCTGCAGCGGATGTTCCAAGATATTGGTGTAAGCAAGGACTTGAATGAGCAATTTAAAAAGCACCTGACCAATTCAGAACCGTTAGATTGTAAGTAATACATTTACCTAAGTTGCTGTTGAGTAGTTTAGCTTCCTCTTATTTCTACAGAACTAACTATATGAGGGAAACATATGATTTAGACATCATACCCCCAGAAGTTAGTTAGTATTATTTTGACCAAGATAGCTAGGATTTAAAAATTAGTCTTTTAGGTCTGTACTTTGTCTTCTAATAGCACTTTATATCTTCTGTTATGGGTAGCCTCCTCCTGATTTTGCAGCTCATGTTTAGGTATGTAATTAAATTAAGTTGAATCTTTGGGTTTGGTGGTTTTTTTTGGTTTTTTTATTGGAAAGATGTTTTTCTTTAAACAGTTTTGATTTTGAGCACAATATGGCTTAAGTTCATACTTGTGTAAAAGTATTAAGGAAAAAAGGATGTTGTGTTTTAGGTTGTTAGACAGCCCTATCACTTTTTTATAAAGAAATATTTTTTCATTGAAGCACATTGAAACAAATTCTTTAAAGAATTTATAATTATTTGTTGGATTACATTTAGTTGTGTATTGTCAGGCTTAAATTTTACTTAATTTTTGTATTATTCTTACTGACTTGCCCAAAATGCCTTACAAGTATAAACGTGAAATGTTTATTGCAGTTGCGTACTGTAGAGTGATGAGTTTTAGTTACACGTAAAAATGAACGCTTACAATTTTTACACTTGCATGTTAAAAAAGAAATCTGTTGTGGGGATAGAAACAGGGTAATAACATCTAAAAATGAGAGAAAATTGAATGAGTGTCACAGTAAATCTAAAGCTCTCCAACTGCAGCGACATCTTACATGAATTCCTTTGTTTTATGGTCTGAATAAAAAAAAAATTATGTTGCTTAATGATTTTTCACCATGTTAGTTTGACCAAAAGGCAGAACCATTTCTTGTTTGTGTTAGAACTATGACTGTGTGTTTGAAGAGGGGGTGGGAGCAAGGGGGATAGTGCAGCTCAGCCTCTTCACCTCTCTTGCAGTGGATTTCAGCATCCAGGTGCTGAGTTCTGGATCTTGGCCGTTCCAGCAGTCCTGCACGTTTGCTCTGCCATCTGAGGTGAGGCGCTCACACTTGCTTCATCCAAACGCGGAATGATCATGCGAGAAATCTGTTTTATGAGGCTGGTGTCTCCTTCTGTTTTGTTGTGTGTCAGAGAGGACTGGAAGTGTCTCTGGTGTTTGCCTGTTTGGCTTGAGGGTATTTGGAACAAGATGAGTGAGTAAGGTAGTAGGAGGGAACTGTGTGAAATATGTAACGGTTTTCTCCTGTGGAAAGACCCTGGTTAATGAATCTTTCTTCAAAACATTCAACAGTAACTGAAGCAAATCTTTGTTAGTGTATTTTTCTGTGTATATTTGTATTTAAGAAACTTTTTCTTGCCGTTGCTTCAGCTCTGTCCAGTAAAATCTTTAGATGTTATAATCATTAGTTTTCTGTCGAGCACTTACCCAGAATAGAGAACACATGAATACTTAACATGAGAAATAAGTTTAACTGCTGTTACCTGGAGCGTGAAGGTGGTTAAAAGAAATGGCCTTTCTAGCCTTACTTAATGTATCATAAAAAGAAGAATGGAACTTAAATCCTTGTTTAGGTTTGTATTGTTAATGACACTTCGAAGAGGAAACTCATAACAAAGGGAAATTTTCATCCAGTCTGAAGAATTTGAGTACTTTGGATTTCTGTTTGTCTTATTCAGACAATGTGGCAGTCAAGGGTGATCAGATTTGATTCTCCTTTGTTGGTTCCAGAGCATGTTCTAAGTAATGGTAAATGAAGGTAAATAATATTCTTTATTTATTTATTTTTGTTGTTTCTATACAGTTAGAACGGAGCTATCAGAGATTTACTGCATTTTATGCCAGTCGTCATAGTGGAAGAAAATTAACATGGTTGTATCAGCTGTCCAAAGGGGAATTGGTTACCAACTGTTTCAAAAATAGATACACGTTACAGGTAAGGATAATGTCATGCCAGTAGCAACACTTGGTGATGATTGCATTCAGAGTACTGGATGCAGCTGATCATTTAAGATGTGTTCATGCTCTGCTCCACTGCTCTTGTGTTATCTGGATGAGTTGCTCAGCCTCTACTCCTCATTTGGAGATAATTGCTTTTCCTTACTTGAAAGGACCATTATGCAGATAAATGTGTTAAAAATGGTGAAGTGTGTAGATGTTGAAGTAGTGGAGTTCATGTGAGTAACTGTGCCCACACACAAACTAATTTTAATAGATAATACAGTGAATTGAGCTAGATTTTATTTGTATGTCAAAATATTCATTAACAGTATGTAATGATATATCACAATTAAGTATTTTAAATCATTCAGTTCCTTAATGGGGGGGTGTGGGTGTGTGTATGTTCATATGTATACATATATGTCCAGCTACTATTTACGATGCTCACATGCATTCATTAGCTTTATTCCTGTGAATAATGCTACTGTCTTTAAATAAAGCAAAGCACAGATGCAAGACCTGATGGCTACAGATCTGTGTATTACTGAAGTGAACATAAATGGTAGCTGTCCCCAGATGGTTGTTGGTGTTATGATTAATAGAACCTTTATTATATGTTTGATTTATTTACTGTACTGATACTTAACATCTATGTTTAAAAGAAAATTGACTTAGAAAAGGGAATACATTACTTGTGGTTTAAACAGGTGTAGAACTGCGTTGTATGAGACAACTGCAACCTCTTTGCATAAGATCTCATGCTTCTTATACTTTCCTGTCTGCTTTCTCTCAAAAAGTAGACAGAGGGGAGTTCACAACAGTGAGAAGAAACAAGATCATCTCAGATTTTGAACCTGTCATCAACATATGTTAACCCTGTGGTGATAGATGTGACTAAGCCACTGATAGCTGCCTTGCTTATAAATTTGGTTTCATTATTCTGCTGGAGTTGTGTAATGATTAGCACTAGTTGGCTATTCTCGGTTGTCCAAATATTCCAGTATATGTGTTTAACTGGTGAATTTCAGGCTGTTGAAATTCAGAAAGTATGTTTGTTCATTCTCATTTTCTGATTTTCCCCCTCTCCCCTTCATTCTCTTTTTTTTGGATCTGTTAGGCATCCACATTCCAGATGGCGATTTTACTGCAGTACAACACAGAAGATGCCTATACCGTGCAGCAGCTGACGGACAGTACTCAAATAAAAATGGTAGTGACTTTGCACATTTTACCACACTCTTGTGAACAAGTCTTTTGGTCTTCAGGGCTCTTCCTGCAATCGTAAGAAATTGGGATTAGACATGCTTGAAGCCAGAGTCAGTTTCTGTCCTGAAGGAGACAGATGTTCTCTCGTCTTGGTCAACTTACTTTCCTGGTTTACTTTCCTGTAATCATAACTGCCTAGTCTTCTGATGAATCTTAGTGTGTATATAT